TTAAATTAAATAAACGCTGTAAGTGTATCGAGAGGTAAGTTAGTTATTAAGTTTTACATTATTATTATTAGGTTGGAGCCCAAGGCATTACGTAGGTGGTGGGGCGGGTGCCGAAAGGCCAATGAATTGGGCTCTTGAGTTTTGTAATTTAGGTAAGCTAGGGCCATAATGTAATGAATAGGTAAGTTAGGGCTACGTTGTAACACACACTCATTAATAGATTTAGGGTTTAAGTTTTATATTATTACTAAGTTGGAGCCCAAGGCATTACGTAGGTGGTGGGGTGGGTGCCGATTGGCAAATGAAATGGGCTCTTGAGTTTTTTTGTAATTTTAGGTAAGCTAGGGCTTAATTGTAATGAATAGGTAAGTTGAGGGTACGATAGCCGATAGACTCTGAATTTCGAAGTCTGTTGTCAGAGGTAAGCCTTGGTGGCCAGTGGTGTACTGGCAATGGTTTACTATCCGGACGGCAATGGTTTACTATCTGCACGGTAATGATTTAACATGCGGCACGGCCATAGTCTACTACCCGCACGGCTTCCGGACGGCAAATGGTTTACTATCCGCACGGCAATAGTTTACTATCCGCAGGGCAATGGTTTTCTATCCGGTGCCCTGGTTGTCGGTGAACCTCTGTGCAAAGAGGAAGAATGAATGGGGACTTTCGACTATCGTACCATTAACAATTTAATATAGATTTGTTAAGGTAATTGAATAGGTAGATAGGATTATTTTTATTAAGCAATTTGAGATGCCGGCCCCGCTAAGCTTTCTGATGAGAATCTACTCTTTCTCTATCTTTCTCCATCAACACTGGCTGTGTTTCTACAACAACCTCGAGTAGGACTGGCACCAGTTTTGGAGGACAACGGAGGAACCGGACCGCATTCAACATTCTGCTTTTGTCGAATGGACGACGGTAAGTTTTTTTTACATTTTACTTACTTTATTATTTTAAAATTTTATTTATTTTACATTATTTTCATTTTATAATTTAATTTTTTTTTGCTTCTAAGATTCTAACATTCATTTACTACTACGCAAATAAAAAAATTTTGTTTACAGAATGATGAGAGGTGGGCAGTGGTGGGAGTCAGCACGTTTTAGATGGTGGTCTCATGATGATTTACATATGATGATGGTGGTGTAGGAAGAATCAGCTCGTTGGCTGTTCGACTGACACTCTGAAGTTCGGATGGTATTTTGTGTGCCGACCAGATGGTGGTGGTCGGTGCAATGGAAAGTACAGTAACGACGATTTTTGAAGTAAGGTTTAGTTTCGTTTTTTATTTTTCTCATTCGTTCATTTTATCACTCAACCTTTTAAATAATTCTTCTATTAATTGATTCGTTAATTCATTCTATTCATTAATTGAATCATTGATTTATCAATTAATTCATTCATTCACTCATTCATTCAACCAATTATTAAATCATTCACTTAATCATTTATTCGATCGTTACTTTGTTTCTTGATTTACTAATACGCAACTAAAAAATGTCTACAGAATGATGAGAGGTGGGCTGTGGTGGGCATCAGCACGTTTTAGATGGAGGTCCCATGATGATCGTTCCGATGACAATTCGAAGATAATAACGACGGTTTTTGAAGTATGATTTAGTTTATTTTTTTTATTTTTCTCATTCATTCATTCATTTTATCACTGTCTTTCAAATTATTCCTCAGTTAATTTATTCATTGATTCATTCTATTCATTCATTAAATCATTGGTTGATTAATTAATTAATCATTTATTCGTTCGTTCCTTTGTTTCTTGATTTACTACTTCGCTAATTAATAAAAACTTGTCTACAGAATGATAAGAGGTTGGCTGTGGTGGGCGTCAGCACGTTTCAGATGGTGGTCTCATGATGATCGTTCCGATGACAAATCGAAGATAATGTTAAAGGTAAATTTGTTTTTGTCTCATTGTACCTTTGAAAGTACTCGAATTTGAACAAAGATTGAGTGTTATCTCAAAGATAAGTTGCCTATTTTTTCCAATTGCTTGTTTTTTATTTTAGTGAATTAATTTTTTTTTCAATTTATTTTTCAGTATCCGGTCAAATTCATTCCATCGATGCGTGTCAGATGATGGTCGGTGCAATGGAGGTTCGTCGATAGTGAGAAGTTTCTGGAGAGTGCGCGCCCGCACATTTACATACACACACATCAATACAACACATACATACACAACATCCATTCATTCGCTGTCGTTGTTGCTATGTTTCTCTTCAACTTTATATTTTCTTTACCGTGAACCGGGCTTTAATTTAATTCATAGGTAAGTTAGGGACTGAGATGAGTTAAACAATTGTAGGTAGGCTAGGGCTTAACGTTAGTTAAAAAGCTTCAAGTAAAATAAAAACGCTATAATATGTTAAATAAAATACTTGAAACATCTAAAAGGAGAAATACAAATTTGTAGGTAAGTGAGTTGAATCAATGTTTATAAGTATGCTAGGGCCCTGAGAGTAATTTTATTATAGGTAGATGACTGACTATTATTCTTGCGACTTCTTACTAGTTTTGTGTAATGTGTTTGTTTTCGCTTCACAACACCACACCAACAAAACAAACTACATTTTATTCTCGTCGTCGCCTTAAATTGTACCTTTTTGAACAATCTTTTTAATAATGTCTATTTATTCATTAAATGTTGACTGGTTTCTAGTTTTTTTAAAATTGGTTATATAATTTTGGATATTTCTTGATTTACTTTGTATATATGCATGTATAAATTATTTCTGTTTAGTATGTTGATTTAGTCATTATATGTTGAGAACTGTTCTTACTAAATGTTCATGTTACCTGGTTTATTATCCTTCGAGAACTTCTAAGGAGTGTGTATGATAATAATAATAATGGATAATAATTATTTTTATCGGTCGATATTTTGTTATATTTGTTTATTTAAAATACGAATTTAAAAAAAATTGACATTTTAAAATTTTAATTAACCGTCACTTTTCATTTTTGAATGAATTCAAATAAAAGCAACTACTGTGTTTTTCTTTCTTTACTAAAATATCGAAATTGTTTGTAGATCTGCACGGTTAACTGTTTGTTCGAGTTTGAACAGGCCCATGGAATTATATAATTCAATGAACAGGCCTTGCAAATTTTTTTATTTTTGTTTTTATTTTTGTTTATTTGTTTCATTCAAATTAGTTGATTGATCGGTTGATTGATTGATTGACAGACTGGCTGGCTGGCTGGCTGGCTGGCTGACTGACCGACCGACCGACTGACTGATTGTTTGATTGTTTGGTTGATTTATCTCATAGTATTGTATACATGAAAAAAAATCCGATTAAGCCAACCTACGGCTTCAGTAAGCCACTGTTTTTCTCCTGACAAAAGCAATTTCTATATTTATACTGACAAAAATAATTGTGATATGAATATATTGATTTATTTAAAGCATTATATGTACAAAAAAGTGCTGTCGTAAGAGTTCTATGAAACCCTGTAAGCCACTGCTGTAAGCCAACGTATGATTTCAGCAGCCAGTTTCTTATGAGCACCAGTAGAATGTAAAATATTCATTGAATATAATGAAGATAGTTGTTCAAATAACAATTTTGATTTATTTATGCCGTTTATTTCATAAGCAAACTAATTTTTAACATGGTCGAATAGTGTAAAAAAAAGGGTGACTATAGTTCAATCCTACTTCAGTAAGCCACCGGATTTCACCGGACCAAAAGCAATTTTTATATTCAAATTAACAAAAATAATTTAATAATACATAATTCTATTAATTATTATTAAAATTAAATAGAATTACTACAATGTTTTAAGCATATTAAATCAAGTAAATATTTCATTTAGCTTGCTCGTTAAAATCCATGCAATTTCGTAAGCCAACAATCCAAGCACGACAAATAGCCCGACCGATAGATCGAATTGATCGATTAGTCCTATTATTCTAGTTATTTGTGGTTTGTGGTGCAATGATTAAGTATTCTAGTTATATGTGGTTTGGAGCAAGGGAGACATTACTGAAAATAATTAAAAGTTGAAAAAATTGAGGTTCTTTGCATATCCCTGCTTCAACCCATAAGAAGCTGTTGTATGCTGGTAAATAGGCCTCCCCTTGGACTGGGTCATATTGGAAAATTAATTCAAGTTTTTTCGACTACTTTGTCGTTATTTAATTTTCATTTGAAATGTATATTAGAAAAAGACCTATTTTTGAAATTTTTGAGATAGATTATGAAAATTTTCATTTCGTACATTGACTATATGCATCAAAAGAAATTCACACTACCAAGTACCAATGTCGTTAAAGTCTTGAACTTTCATATCTGGTTCAACAATTCAAGTTTCCACCGCCTCCTCAGTTGGCAACGAGTAAAATATTTTTAAAAATTTAATGAAATGTTCAAGCACATTTATCTAACATTTTTATCAACTTACTAAGAAATCAGTAGCAAAACTAGTATTTGGCATCGATTTTGATTTTGAGTCGTCGGTTTTAAAAAACTTGTACAAAGCTCCTTTTTTTGTTTTTATATACTCATCGCAACATTTTGTTTTTTTTTCTTTTCTGGCACAAAGAGACATTCATCCAATGAAAATTAGGGCCGTCCTATATGGTGCAATGATTAAGTATTTGACGTTATCTTATCGGGTTCGTTTTCTTATGACGGACGTTGTGCACCTTGCATATACATTTATATTATATATTATTAATACAAGGTGCATATATATATATATAATATATATTCTATAAATATATGTATATTCATATATATATATATACATACATATATATATATATATAGAATATATATTTATATATATTTATATATATGAACCTATTATAAATAATGCGGTGATAGCGATTGTTAATTATTGACTGCAATTTTCATGCACGTTCACTTTTAAAAATTTGTTCGGTTGTTTATGCAGCTGTGATGTGAAGTGCTCCCGCGAAGATGTCAAGTGAATAGAATATTCCCATTTTTTAAGATTATAAAAAAGGTTTACATATGAAGGTTTTGGTTTTGTCTTTAACGGTCGCTCTCTTATCAGTTTTGATAATTAGCTACAATTTTTGGAAGCTAGATATTCAGGCTTTGCCTTTGTTCATAAAAAAATTATTTGTTGATAGTAAAATTGAAGATGACAATATTTTCATCCGTAAAGAAAATGGGAAACTCATCACTGAAGAATCCCTTGCCAGTTTTCGAGGATATGATAATGATAAGATTTATCTTGCGATATTAGGTCAAGTTTTTGATGTTACTTCGGGCAAAAGGCATTATGGCACGTCTGGTTCTTACAGCTACTTTGCAGGTGACTGGTCTCTTTTCTTTGATTGACATAATTGGAAAAAGTTATTAACAACAATAAAAAATATATATATTCAATTTAATTTGGATATTTAAATAAATAAAATGAATAATTGAAGTATTTTTAAAACTGATGTTCTGTGCAGTGTGGTTGCAAAGTTGATCAAATAATATTTTGTTCCAGGCGCATAAAAATTAATATTGTTTTTTAATTTAACATTTTTCAGGTAACCAAAATGTAAAATTGTATAACAAACTATGGCACATATTTTTTGTTTATGACAAAATCTGAGATTTACTCTTGGGCTTTGCGTTGTCTGTTGTAATATGTATATGATTTATTAACTAGCTCATTTTATCTAAATATTACATATAAACTCAAATTTGTCTGAATCATTGAAGTGATGTTCATTGTTTCATAATGTCATAATCATATGACATTTTGTAACAACTATTATAGTATAAAAGTTTTATAATTTTAATATTTACTGTATAATAATTATACAGTAAATATTAAAATCTCAAATCAGCTGATAATGTACTTTGCTTATTCATTTCATCTACTTGCATAGTCTTTATTTTTTTTATTCCTTTATTGTTATTCACTTTAATAATGATTATATAATAATATTTATTATAGTACCTGACATTATATTGTGCATACAAATGCTACTTTTAACTGGTTTGAACAATATTTGTTTTTATTATGAGAGATCAGAGCTTTGGCTTTTTCCATTGTTTTATCTACATCTTACACAGGCATTTTCTGATTTTAATATTTCTCAATATAATAAAAATTGAATAACAATAGTTTTAATTGACAAAAAAAATTTTCATAAAATAACACAAACTGAAAACAATATTTAAGAAACTTTTTTATAGATCTTCAAAAATGAATGCCATAATATTTTTTAAACTTTATATTTGTTTTTAATGTTATCACATGATTTTATTATTTATGCTTGAAGACAATGCACAAATTTTTAATAAGTTCTTAATTTATGTTAGGCATTTTATTATATTTTAGCAATTAACTTTTTAATTTTAATCTTTAAGTTATTTTTGAAATAATTTCTGAAAAAAAAAATAAGCAAACAATACTTAGAAAATTCTGTTCCCAAATGAACAAATTGCATGGTATAATTAAGTTATGATGTGTTTTATTGTATTGTGATCATTATCAATATTCTCAATTATTATTCCTCTGTTCCCAGGAAGGAAACTTTCAACATTTTCTAGTAGAACTACTCTTTGAATATTTTTTAATCTCCTTACAGTAATGTATCATAATGCATGTTTTTGTAGATGTACCATTAGGTATTGTATTTCAAAATAACACATTTAATCTTGATTTTTTTATTTAATTAACCATTCAATTTACTCATTGCTTAGCAGCACCAATAGTTCAAATTTGCTTATCACATTGGCATGTAATTGCAACATCATAAAACATCTCTACATAATTGTTGCATTGCACACATCTTCAAAAATGAGATTATTCGAAAATTAAAAAGTGTGCATCAATGAGCCACATTAGCAAATTTTTTTAATTTGAATTACCTGCTGGAAAATTATAGAATTAAAATTTTCTGCTGTTATAAAATTTCACAGCTAAGAATTTTGCATCTTTGTTTCTGCTACAAACAATAAGCACTGTGCAATTACATGACATGAATGACATGAATATTCATTAATATACTAGGAATATTGTATTGTGTCAACTGATTGTTAATGATTTTTAATGTAGAATATTTTATCATAAGTCAGTTTCTTTAGGTTATAATTCAAAAAATGTTGGATAAACTTGTTGAATGTCATATTTTAAAATCAGTGACTTAGTTGAAAAATTTATCCAAAGGAGTCATTGTCAGTAAATTTAATGCTGATTTTTTGACTCACACACATAAAGCATGAATCAACGCATCACACACATAATGTGTATGATACGCAGGTTATAGTCATGGCATTGCAAGACCAGGTACCATTAACCGTTACACTATCTTGCTGCCTATATAGTCTGAATTTGTTTGAATCTTTGTAGTCTGAATGTGATTAGAGAAAGCTTGATTTCTATAATATGGTTACTTTGGTGAAGAATATAAACAGTACAAAATATATGTTTATAATTAAATTTATGTATAATTAAATGAAGGGGTGGTAAAATTTAATGCGAGAAATTTTGCACATGATTATTCTATTATATATTTCTAGACAGGGTTTGTTTTTAAGTAATTATAAACGTAAAATTATACAGGTAAAGATGGCACAAGGTCATTTGTAGACGGACTTTTCACAAGCGACGTTCCTGGATATGAAATATCTGATTTCACTGGAAGTCAGCTTTTAGAAGTTTACAAATGGATTCAGTTCTATAATTCAAAATATACCTTCATCGGTTATTTTATCATATTTAGTTATAACTAATTTTATTTGTATATTGTCTTTCGAAAAATTTTACTCTGAAAATTATTTATCCACATAGAAATGTCAAATAAACAAGATATAACTTTAACTTTAATCTTTTTATGCAAGAAACGATAAGATTTTTGGAATAGTCAGCTATTTTGTGTTCATAATATTTTTTTTTCATAAATAACCCAAATATCGTCTTGGCCGCTACGCCTTGGCTATCTTCAATTCCTGTGTAAACGAAATAAAGAATTAGTTAATTAATTGAAATGAAAATGTAAACTGTTTATTATATTTGAATATATCTGTGTCTCGCTCACTCGTTTTGTATTATTTATGAAGGTAATTTTTTATGACTACAATAAATCGTTCATTAAATATTAAACGATCATTATGACTTCTGATGACTTGTTAGGAAAAGTTGTTGGTCGGTTTTATGATGAGAATGGTGGTCCGTTGAATGAATTAACATCAGCTTTTGAAAAGTACAAACTGGCAGTCGCTGAAAAATTTCAACTTGATGAACTTAATAAAATATTCCCTTCATGCAATGTAGCCTGGAAAGAAAATGAAGGGACGAAACTTTGGTGTACAAGTAAAAGGTTTTGCTTTTCATTCTCATTTTTACGCTTGAAATATATCATTAGTATCTCAATATTTAAAACGTATGAATGAGAACCATAGATTTTGTGATGTTAGGATGCTATGAATTGCCATTTGTATAATTGTTATAACTATATTATAACTATTTTTTATAATTTTTAATATCTTAATTATTTATATATTTATGCAGTGGTAGCATCGAACGTGAATGGACTGGGATTCCCAGAAGCTTCTTTGATCAAAATCTACAAAGCACAAGGTGTGTCTGTGTAAAAAATACTGGAAAGCCCTCTTTTGATTTTATTCAAGATCAAAACAACGGGGATTTAAATCATCCAAATTTAAAAATTTTTGATAAATGTGATCCAAATGCAAATGAATGTTTCATTTTTTAATCGCTATTTTTCATAGTTTATTTGTGTCTGCTGACAATTGCCTTTAATGATTCTTTTAATTTTTTATTGTCTTGCAAAAGTGTTTTAATTTATTTTTCCTGGAAAGCAAATCGAGGAACAGCAGTATTACCTTATTGGGAATTCTAACTATTCAAACACGTGACTCGTATGGTAAAAATTATTTTAGGTATATGGGTACCGTATCCGTCAAAGGCAGATTAGGTTGACTGATTTCAAGCGGGAGATCCGGTTATAAACTTTGTCGAGTTGAAAAATAATACGTTTTTTAAAATTGGATCAACAAAAACACTTGCTCACAGCTATGTATGAAGTTGAATCACCATTTCAAATTTAATTATGTTTTGGATTAGTTTATTTCTATAGGGCTGTCCAATCGATGTTTATATCGGTAGCAAGAATGAATAGTAAAGTATATATGTTTTCAAGTTCAACTTCATTCTGGAATACACGCTTTCTGAATGGTTTCTAGCAAGGTATATGTTTGAAATTGTACTGTTGGTCATAGCCGCCACGTGAGCATAACCAGCCGAGGTCATCATCCGGCTACGATGATCTGGTTTATCCATCTTTCCGTTTCTCAAATTTCAAGCTGATTCACTTCCCAATAAAAAAACTGTTCCATCGCCAATCGATGAATTTTCAAAAAAATGTTTAAGCAACGAAACGATGTGCTCCGTGGAAAGCTCTTTTGAGATATTCTTGAGTGGGGTGCTATACAAATTCAGACACAGGTGTCTGGGAAAACGTCAAACAATAGATTTGATTGGAAGTACCGTTCTTTTTTTGTGTTCTGTAACTGTCATTTTATATCCGCTAATGAGTTTTCTTTAGGGTTCGTTTCCGTCTTGTCTAGCTCTAGAGACTATGTTTATAATCAGTACCACAGCTCGAATTATCGCACAAATAAATGCTTTGAAACTGATTCATTGTATTCTATTATCTGTATTTCTTTTTAAAAACCTTATTTGAGAGATGGTCTCATTTGTTCATCATTACCTCGTTGCTATTATCCAAAAAAAAATCTGGCACTTAAGAACAAGCAAACATCTTTCGCCGACTGCCATATAATCCTTATGTGTTTCTTATGAAAAGCATCATGTTATTTAACGTTTTCAGAAATTTCCGTATGTCGGATAATGTTTTCACAGGTATTTGGTAGCCAGTAACGTTTTTATATTTGAGTTAATTTTCACTTTTCCCTTAGATCAAAATTTTTTCTTTAGACAACATAAGAAAAGTTTTTTAAATTATGTAAAAATCAAAAATCATCGAATAATGCCATGAATCACCTATTTAGTCTATTAAAATTCAAACCATTGTAAAAGACCGAAGAATAGTGTGCTTTGCTTTTTCGGAGTTTTCAGGATAGGTCTCCAAAAATCATTACAATCATAACACCGACCAGAAATCGAATTAGGAGTTAAAATGCCGGAATGTTTATTTCATTTTATCACAAATATATAGCTGATGGCTTAAAAGTATGATTTGCGGCTAGAAACATGACTAGAGAAAGCTTTAAATTAAATTCGTTAAAAGTTAGAAAATCTTAGATGGAACAATTTGATATTCAAACGCTTGTGTATTAGCTTTCAGGTCAAGTGCTTCATCACACTTCATCACACTGTTGAATTTTGTGTTTCAATGGTCGAGAGTGTAAAAATAAAAATTTTAGGCAACAATCGTTATTTCAAATTTGTACCACATTAATAAAAATATGAAAAAATAGTTTTTGTATGTCACATACATGTATGTACTGCTGTAATCTATCGACCTCCTTCTTCTCCTACTATATTTTTAGATGAATTTTACTCACTCGCTGGATCTCTACTCTTTTTCTATTCCTCTCTACATCTCTGGTGATTTCAACATGCACTTCAATAACTTATCTTGTTCTTACACTCGTACTAGATTTAATGATATTTTATCTCTTTTTAACTTAGCACAATATTGTTCTTTTCTTCCACACACTTCTGATAACACTATTGATTTTGTTATAGCTTCATCTTTTTCTAAGCCTATTAATATCTCTGCTAGCTCTGTTCCTTACTCTGATCATCTCCTTATTGAAACTTTGTAGTTTCATTAATTTTCCTTCTTTCTAATTCATCTATGTCCATTTCTAAAAGATGCTGGTCTTCTCTTAATAAAGATATTTTTCTTCAATCTCTTACTGAAACTATTTTTGATACTACCTTATTTTCCGATGTTGATGATTTTGTCTACGCTTTTAATATCTACATTACTTCTATTCTTGATAAGCTTATATCTCTTAAATCTTTTACTTATAAGCTCTATTCTTGTAAGGCTCCTTGGTTCGATTATGCTTGTGTATTGGCTAAGAAAAGTGTTAGAAGACAGGAGAAAGTCTATAGGTTAAGTTTATCTAACTCTCTTTATTCTAACTATGAATCTGAATTAATTAATTATAGATATCTACTATTCTCTAAACACTCTACTTTTTTTAGAAATTCTATAACATCTGCTTCAACATCTAATTCTAAAAATAGGTGGTCTGTGTTATCTAAACTTCTTCATGAGTAATCCTCTCACTCATCTTTTTCTGCCCAACAGTTTCATGACTTTTTTTAAATAAAATTATTCTTTTAAGAACATCTAATTCTAATTTTTTTCCTCATAACTTTACTTTAACTTTACATATCTTTTTCTGTATTTACTCCAATAAATTTTCTAGAACTTACTAAAATTATTAATTCTATGCCGTCTACAACCTGTTCTCTAGATCTACTTCTAATTTACTTGAAGAATTTTTTTCAATATTTTATCCTATCATTCTCAAATTAGTTATTTTATCTATTTCCACCTCCAAACTTCTTACTTCTTATAAGAATTCTATTGTTATTCCAATTCTTAAAAACTTATCCTTAAATCCTACATCTTTATCTAATTATAGACCTGTTACTAATATTTCTTTCATCTCTAAAATAATAGAAAAAGTAGTTTATAATCATTTATCATCTTATTTAAACTCTAACTCCTTGTTACCTGTATTTTAATCGGGTTTCAGACCTGTTCACAGTACTGAAACTTCTTTACTCGAAATACATAATGATATCCTTCTCTCTAGTGACAATAGTAATCTTACTCTTCTTGCTATTGACTTTTCCTCTGCCTTTGAAACTGTTGATCATACTATTTTCTTAAGGCTGCTAGATCTTTCTTTTAATATTACTAATTCTTGTCTATCTTGGTTTTCTTCTTATCTCTGTAATCTTTTTTTTCTGTTGTTCTCAATAATTCTATTTCTTACTCCTCTACTCTTAATTTCGGGATACCGCAGGGTTCTATCTTTGGCCCTCTTCTATTTATACTCTATACCTCTGAATTACCTCGTATTATTAACAACTTTTCTTTCACTAGTCAACTACATGCTGATAATTCTTATATTTATTCTTCTTTTCCTCCATCTAATATCAATAGTGTTTTTCATAATCTATCTGTCTTTCTTCAATTATCGCTTGGTCTGACTCTACGTGTCTTAAACTTCTAAATTTGAATTAATTTGTTTTAATAAATCTAAACACTTTATTACTATTCCTCCTATTACCTTACCTGATTCTAAAACTCTTGATGTTTCTCACAAGTTTCGTAGTATAGGCTATATCTTTGATTCTAGTAGTCAGTAGTCAATCAATCAGTCAATCAATCAATCAATAATGTTTTAAAGCCGTAGGTTAGCTTTCTTGGTTGTATATGTGTGATTAATTGATTGGTTGATTGAATGTTGTACGTTTCTAACATAGAGTACCTCAAGAATAAGGTTTAAGGTTTGTGCTTTACTATCGGTTTGTTTGTATGGCATGTGTGTTAATATGTGTGTTGGTTCGTTTGTCTGTTGTCTGTATGTTTGGTTGTCTGTCTGTCAGTTTGTCTGTCTGCCTGCCATCATCATCATCTTGGTTTGGTTGCTACTAAAGCCGTGGGTTGGCTTAATCGGATTTTTTTTCATATGTACAATACTATGAGATAAATCAATCAATCAACCAACCATTCATTCAACCAACTAACCAACCAATCGATCAATCAATGAACCAAATTAAATGAACCAAACGAACGAATTGTGATAAAACGATGAAAAAAATAAATATTTGCAAGGCTTGTTCAAACTGTAACAAACACTTAACCGTACAGATCTACAAACAATTTCGAGGTTTTAGTAAAGAAAGAAAAACACAGTAGTTGCTTTTATTTGAATTCATTCAAAAATGGAAAATGACGGTTAATCAAAATTGTAAAAACGTCAATTTTTTAAAAAACTCAAATTTTAAACAAACAGATATAACAAAATATCGACCGATAAAAAATAATTATTATCCATTATTGTTATTATACACACTCCTTAGAAGTTCTCCAAGAATAATAATCCACGTAACATGAACATTTAGTAAAGACAGTTTACAGCATATCATAATGACTAAATCAACATACCAAACAGTATTTATGCACGCATATATACAAAGTAATTCAAGAAATATCCAAAAATTATATAACCAAATTAAAAAAAACTAGAAACCAGTCAACATTTAATAAAATTAAAATTATGCCTATCTAACCTTCCTATATAGCTACTTAATGTAATTGTGTGTGTGTGTGTGTGTGTGTGTGTGTGTGTGTGTGTGTGTGTGTGTGTGTGCGTGCGTGTGAGCATTCATACTTAATGTTAAATTACAGAATAAAACAGAGAAAAGAATAAAACGTATCCCAGCCAGGCGTGTATTCTTTGCCATTGAATGAATGAACGTAGCCTGACATCTTCCATGATGAACTCGTAGAAACCGTAAAACGAACCCCAGCCAGGCGTGCATTCTTTGCCACTGAATGAACGAACGTAGCGTGACATCACATGATCACCACGATGATCACCTCTTGTAGCTTCAACCTGGATGAATGAGCCTGAATGAACTTAAAGTTCTAAATGAATGGGAAAATCTTATTTATTTAATGAAAATAGAGAAACGCAA